GTCTGTCTGTCTGTCTGTCTGTCTGTCTGTCTGTCTGTCTGTCTGTCTGTCTGTCTGTCTGTCTGTCTGTCTGTCTGTCTGTCTGTCTGTCTGTGAGTCTGTCTGTGTGTCTATCTGTCTCTGTCTCTCTCTCTGTCTCTCTCTCTCTGTTTCTCTCTTTCTCTTTCTCTCTCTCTCTCTCTCTCTTTCTCTCTCGTCTTGTCTTTCATACACAGGTACACAAACACTCAAGAACACACTCACGAACACCACTCATATATACTCACACACTCTCACTGTCTCTCTCATTCACTCCTCTCCCCCTCTCTCTCTCTCCCTCTCTCTCTCTCTCTCTCTCTCTCTCTCCCCCTCTCTCTCCCCCCTCTCTCTCTCTCCTTCTCTTTCCCACACACACAATCACACATACTCCCACTCACTCACTCTGATACACTCACAGACCAATAAACCCACACATTCTCTCTCTCTCTCTCTCTCTCTCTCTCTCTCTCTCTCTGTCTCTCTGTCTCTCTCTCTCTCTCTCTCTCTCTCTCTCTCTCTCTCTCTGTGTCTCTCTCTCCGTCCCTTTGTGTCTAGGTGTTTAAATCGTCTTTCGCGAAAGTAGTCATGGTTACCCCAACGTTGACCCACAAAGAATTATGACCTTCGATGCGCGCAGTAAGTCAAGTAAGCTCCTAAATTGAGCCTGAACTAAATCCAGACTTAACAAATAATAAATCTCTCATATAGACAGAAAAATAGCACCACAACAGTCGATTGGTTCAGGTAGGTGCGCCCGCCCGATCCCAGCGCACCCCGCGCGCGCGCTCAACACTCGAAACCAATTTCCCATAATGCGCATCAATTATTGCGCATGCGTGTGTTGTGATCGCGTGTCAGCGATAGGTTGCGTCAGGGCGGTTACGCGCTAACGAAGCAAGTAATGAACGCTGATAGCTTAGCGCAGCTCCGCGGAGCACCCCTCTTGCTTCGCGGAGCATCAAACGCCACGGGATGTCGGCGGTGGAAGATGTCGGCGAGCTGGGATTGGCTGGGGCGGGTCAGGTGATGATAGGGGGCGCCTGTCTGCCACCGGAACCGGAAAGATAGATAATATGAATAATGTACGGGGGTAAGCGAGCTGAAGGGGCAATGTATACTACGTGTATATTTACTACTACTTTTGATTGTTTCAGAGGTCGAGTGATATTTGTGGGTGGTTGGCTGTGGTTCTGTTGTGGTTTGCTCCTTCTTTTCTATCAAACATCAATTGCTCTTGTCTCTCACCCCCTTTTTTTTTCTTTGCATATCACTCTCTAGTAACACCTCTAATTTCCAGTACTTACATTTATTTGTTGGGTAGTTGGCGGGTGCTCTGGTGTGGTTTTCTCCTTCTTTTCTATCAAACATCTATCATCCTTATCTCTCCTCCTTCTTTTTTGTGTATGCTGCTCTTTTGTAACACATCTATTCTTCGGCACTTATATGACTTTATTGTGTTGCAAGTGCCGCAAAACTCTTACTAGAAATATTTATTTGGTCTTTTTGTGTTACGAGTACAACAAAGCTCTAGATTTTTAAATTTAAATAATTACATTTAAAAACCCCATAAACAAACAAACAAAAAAACAAAACAAAGCACCAAAACTTAGCTCTGGACCACTGACCCTTGACAAGAGCATGCCCGTGGGCCTATATCATAACAATACTCGCATGTCTTTCATAATTTCTCCACTCTTTACCTGTACCAAAATGGAGCTTGACACCCCCCTCCCACTTCTCACTATCTATCTATCTATCTATCTATCTATTTATCTATCTATCTATCTATCTATCTATCTATCTATC